CTGGGTAGAGTATGGTGGCATCATCATAGTTCACAGCAACCTCAAACTCTTGGGCTCAAGCAATCCTCTTGCCTCAGTCTCCCAAATAGCTGGGACTACAGGTGGCTGTCACAATGCCTAGTTAGTTTTTCTATTTTTAGTGGAGATGGGTCTCACTCTTGCTTAGGCTGGTCTACAGGTCTTGAGTGCAAGGTATATGCCCATGTCGGCCTCCCAGAGTGCTAGGATTACAGGTCTAGTGTATTAATTGAAAATGTAGTTTTTTCTACGCCTCATCCCCAGGGAGTTATACTTATCAGCAGCTTAGGGGTGAAGCCCAGGAGATCAGCTTTTCTATTAAGCACACTGTGGAACTTGTACCTGCTGTGTGGTTAGTGCAAAGTTCTTTGGTATAGGACAGGGTTTCTCAAAGGATAGTCTGCAGTCGCCAGCCTCAGAGTTACTTGGGGTCATTTTGGATGTAGGTCAGCAAGAGAAATATGGTAACACATGCAGCATTCATAGCTTAAAGCTCGACACTTCCAGTCCTGGAGGGGAGCAATCAGAGTTGGTTTGCTGTTCCACCATAGCTATCTTGCTGAAGTATATGCAAGACAAATACCTAAGTTGCTCTTCTCTCTGCCTGCTACTTAAAAATACATGCCCTAAAATAAATAAAAAATGTTAAATAAAACATGCACAGCAAAGACACTGTGTCATGCAGAATGGCCCGCCTTTAAGTTTGCTATACAGATAAAAATGAATTCGGAGATACAATACTGCATGTAAATGTAGGCTGTCATCCATCCTTGGTTAGAGTTCAGGTATTACGCTTCCTGTTAGGATTTGAAGGTTTGACTTAAGAACAGTTCTTGCTTAAGTTTAAACAGCAAACCCAATCCCAAATGTAACTGGCTTGAAAAAATAAAATCAGTAAAATTTAGAAATTCAGATGACGGGACGATAATCAAGAGCCCCCTGGGCACCTGTGGGAATGCTGCGGTTTGGAAGCTGCTCATGCATAATCTGGATATTTATCCATTCCGCAGTCACTTGCCAGAGATTTATTTCAAACCTCCTGTGTGTGGTGGAGTGGATTTGTCCCCTCCTTTCCCCTTCTACATGCTGACCCTGTGTTTGACACTGTTTTCAGACTCTCTTCAAAACGTGGTGGGGGAGGGGTGGAGAGTAAGAGAATTGGATTTTAAAAGCGTGGTTAATGACAGAATTATCGCTAAAAGGTTAGGAAAGATGTGTTCTGATGCCTGACCTTCATGGTATTTTAATCCCAGACACATCAGGAGATCAAAATGAATACAAGCACATTTTAAGGCTAGAGAACACCTTCTCTGATAAATTAGTCCCTTTGTAGATCTCAAAATTGAATTAAAATACAGTGCTCAGTCATAGTTCTGGGTAAAGTGTTACATTTGCATTAAAGGTGCAGGGCTCAGGCATTTTGATGTGGGATTCAGTACCTGGCACAGTTCATGTGGAGTTCAGGATGGTTTTCTCTGCCTGTGTTGTGCTTTATGGGGCAGACTGCTAAACTGTATTTCTCAGGTTATGTTAATGTCCGTCTCAGAGACCTGGCAGTGTGATGGTCCTTCTGTGTGTACTTCCCATTAATGCTAATGGAACTCAGAACCCAGCACACAGGGAGATAAATGATCCCCCAAATCTCCTCTGACCTTACCCAATGGAACAGGATTGTTAACTTCTATGAACACAGTGACCACGTAAAGCTCACATTTCTGATTTTTTGTCCCCCACCTCACCTAGAAGAATACAATAATCAGAGGACCTCTGTAGGGAAACTGCAACTGAGTGCCAGCAGCCACCCGGGATGGAGCTCTGTGTTGAAACCAATGGATGCTGCGTGGTCATCAGCTAGCCCGGCACACCAGGCCTTGACCTCACGGCTCATACCTACGCACCCTGGCCTTCCTCTTCCCATATTCAACCAGGCTCTTCCCACCTCAGGGTTAATCCTTTCTCTTATCTATTAGGAAATTTCAGTTTTTAAAGTGTTACATGGGGCCAGCAGAGGCAAGATATACTAATTCTGTCCCATGTCCCTAAAAATCCTTTCCATAAGGTCATTAAAACTCTCTTAGAAATTGTCCTCAAATCATGTCCCCAGCTTCAGTCAGTCACAGACCATCTTCACGACTTTTCTGCATATCCTCCTGTAACAATGCCGACAAGACTTTTCTCTATGCTGACTCACTTCTTTAGTTAAGTTTATTTTAAAAGAGCGATCATTCCCGTTAATGGAAAACTAGTGTTTTCTGGATAAATTATTTAGTTTGTTAAAAAGGCAGAAATTGCTATCTCAGCAATATTTATAGCCACACAGAAAATGAGGTGGCCCTCACATATTTCATCCCCGCTGTATTTGTAAGCTTCGCACCACGACTCCATGTGAGATGAACAGCAGGGAACGCACAGTGTGTCGGGAATGGTTCTGTCTCGGGGCTGGTGCTATCACGGGGGTATGAACTCTGATGGGAAATAGAAGCTGTTTCCTTCTGCTAACTCTCAAGAGAGCCAAGGAAGCCGAGGCTTATGACAAGGAAACACAGGATGTAACTTGTTCCTACATGCAAAAACACCTCACTTTTAACAATGGAGAACAGCATGTATGTAGTACATGGCGCTTCTCTGTTCAGCTGTTCATAATCTTTCACACTCTTAGCCATTTCTGTGTGGTAGGCTCATTCCTCTTGGCTAACTATTCTATTGGTGTGAAAACTTTATTAATGTTCACTTCAATATATGCATAGGCACTTTATTAAAATATTAACAATAACAAATCAACTGCTAATATTTCTTAGATGCCAGGCACCATGCTAATCACTTAACATTGATTATCACAGTCATCTGAACAATCCTGTGACCTTGGTACGGTACTATCCCTGCGCACGCTCCTCGTTTTTCTGGCTCCAAGGTCATGAAGCCAGAAAATGGGAGAAATGAGGTTCAAACCCACATCTCTCTGATTCTAATCCCTGCCCTTTAATCATGATTTCAGATAACTTCCTAATATTCTCCTATATCGCCATAAGTTGCAAATAATCTATAACAAGGCTCAGCTCTGCCACTAACCAGCTCTGAAATCTTAGGATCTCTCCTGGTCCTATCTGATCATGAAATTTCCTTTCGCAAATGCGTTAGCCACACATTCACACAGATCCCTTGCTGGAATTGTGTTTTACAAGTATGATTTAACTTCTTTTTCCTTTGTCCTGTGAAACACAGTAAATACATAGTCATATGCTGATGCTATTGCTCTGAGGAAGTAATTAATGGGCTGAAATAGTTGGAATGAGTCTAAACACAGATTTAGTTCCAAGATTTGGACTTCCAATTTACTATCCGCATAGACAAGTATGTTCAGGGTAAAGCAGACTTCTCAAAATGGTAGGACATTTCCAACTTCCACTGACCCTAAAAAATATAATTAGGTGATCTTTTTTGGCTTTCTTCTTTAAATTAAAATGGAGGCAATTATTCTTTTTGGATATTTTTACTTGCCTTGGACTATCTGATATCATAAAGGGAGCTACAAATGGGCAAAAAACAGAAATATGCTCTTGAAGGGGTTTGGGGTCATCAGATGAGGGAGTCTTGGCGTGAGGAATGAGGAGGCTTGACACAAAGTCTGGTCAGGGGACTGAGGAACTCCGGGAGGAGCCCTCCCCAATAAATCTGGGGTCTCTATGTATTATCATAAAACCAAAAGAAGTAGACAAAAGCTGCTTGCCCGACATTGGCACTGATTAGGGAGGAGAGGGAGAGGTCAGGTAGAATGTCTCCACCTTTGTTTTTGCAAAACTGCAGACCTTGAGCACAATCTCTGCCTCCAGCATCAAGAGACCTTTGAATCTAGAGAATCTTTACCGTAATTGTTATTGCCACACCTCACAGATACTTTCTTGGAGGCCAGTTTTCTGATCTCCTGCACAAACACAACTCACACGCCATTCTCTTGATTTGATTCTCTTGATTCTCTAGGTCTCTCAGGCAGGGAGCAAGTTTTATGCTAAAGGTCAGGGCTTAATTTTCCCCACATGCTATGACCCATCTGTATCTGTTATGCAGAAATAGGGAGAATTGGGGAAAAAAATTCCTGGTGCAGTATTAAGAACCAAGGAGAATTCCGAATCAAGATTCCCGGGTTCAATTCCCTATTCTGCTACTAGTGACTTTGAGAAAGTCACCGACTGAGCCTTATCTTCCTCAGTCAGATCACTGCCAAGATCCTTCTAGCTCAAAAATCCTATGACAGGGCAAAATATAAAGTGATGGAAATGCAAATGAAATGTAAATTAAGATCTCATCCTTCACAATTGTTCCTTAGCACTTCCAGCCCAAGTCATTAACCCAGGGTTGGAATAGCTTCAAGTCATGGGCTGTGCTAAGAGCATAAAGGGCCTTTCTGTTATAAACTATAAAGTACCCAGACTCATACAGTCTGTGGACATTTTATTTCCTCAAAACCGACAGTGGGGTTGGGTGACTAAGGCAGAGCACAGAGGTGATCAAAACCTTTTATTAGCATAATAAGCCATATCCGTATCTCTGAATAACAGGGACAGCTCTTTTAAAAATCACCAATGTCATTGTTTAAACAATGTTTGCTAAAAATAGTACTTGAGTCGTGAGTTTTTAATTTCTTCGCACAGTCTTCCCAGACATGAATTTCAAATCTATAGAGAGTTGAAAGAAATTTAATTAAAGGATTAAAGATAACATTACTCACAATACTATAATGGATACAATGGCTATAATTCTCAGAATTGTATTGGATGATTCTGAAATAAGATAGCTTTTCAATCATATTCATTACCAGCGCCTCCCTAAGAATTATTAATCATATCATGTTTGCCGTGATGAATTAATTTAGCAACACAGCGATATCTGTATGTGTTAATATGAATGATGCTACTTTTATAGATTCCATTATTAGAAATGAGGACACATATATTAACATGTGAGTTCTTTGGGTTAGCCATTACCTTTTACTACCAAGTTTCCAGTACTGCTAGCAGTTCCAAAATGGTTAGTGGCTATACACGTGTAACTCCCCGCGTCTGGTTTAGTCACGTTGACGATTCTGAGGTTTCCGTCTTCAGAAATGGTAATTCTGAAATCAAAACAAACGAACCCAAAATGGTAAAGTTTATCTCATATGACTCACTGCAAATTATTTCTGTCATTCTGTCATCTTTCAAATTGTAAATCGTGGCTATATCATTCGACGGCCTTATCTATATTTAGGATGTTTATCCACATACACATAAACATAATTGGATATGCGACTTGTTTAGTAATTCTGCTACTTTTCTTGCTAAAATGGTCTCAAGATTCAGTTGAAATAACTAGTACAGATATTAGATTGTAACCATTTCTCTCTTTTTTTAGAAGCTCTAACCACATTATGCAAAGGAAAGCCTTATTATAGATCACCGTTAGTCTTAAAGGTACTGATGAGGAATAAGAAAAAAATCCCTTAATTAATCAACTTACGTCTTTTCATTTGAAAGTGTTTTTTTCCCTAAATGAGAAGATTACCTTAAATGAGGTATTATTAAGCATATTTATTTCTGAAATATGTCAGCCAATACATTTTTAATGAGATGCAAGAATAGAACTTAAAACAGTTAAAATATCTACAACGTGGTGTGACTTTGGCAGAATAGCAAAGGTGGATGGAATATACCACGCCCCCCCCCCCATGAGAGACAGACATCTACTTTTTGCAGAGAAGAAAATGCTTCTCTTGGCAGACACACAATCTGGACCAGGAGGGATTTTAGAGAACCCTATTTCCAACATGATTAGCCAAAGAGGAAGAGGAATATACAAGATGAATACAAGATAGACAGCCTTAGAGGCCAGTCTAAGAAATAAAAAAAATGTACACCGATAGCTCATGGAAGGAAAACGTCTTTGAAGTTTCTCCTGTATGTTTTAGCTCTGCCCACCTCTTTCCATCTTTTCTGCTCTCTCCTTCTCTCTTGGTCCGTCAACCCCCTATTTCGTTTCCCTATTTCTACTCTTACCTTCAGCAGCCCGATCATCTTTTAAATTTTAAATCAGATTACATCTCTCCTCTGGCTTATACATTCTGAATAAATTCCTGTCTAGAGCTTACAGGTTCTAACACAGGTAGCTTTTAAAAAAAAAAAACAAACCTCTATTGCCTACCATTTCACTCTCATTTTTCTACCTTCAATTAAGGCTAGTCACACTGACTTTCTGCAATTCCTAGAGTACATCAAACTCCTTCCCACCTCAGGGAGTTTCCACTTGCTGTCCTGCCTGCCTTGAGTTCACCCCCTTGCATCCGGACATAGCTGCTACTTTATTAACCTCAGGCCCTGAGCGGAGGTGGGTTTTTTTTTTTTTTTTTTTTTGAGACAGGAGCCTCAAGCTGTCCCCCTGGGTAGAGTGCCATGGCATTTCAGCTCACAGCAACCTCCAACTCCTGGGCTCAAGTGGGTCTCCTGCCTCAGCCTCCCAAGTAGCTGGGACCACAGGCGCCTGCCACAACGCCCGGCTATTTTTTGGTTGCAGCCGTCATTGTTGTCTGGTGGGCCGGGCTGGATTTGAACCCGCCACCTTGGGTGTATGCGGCTGGCACCTTAGCCAATTGAGCCACAGGTGCCGAGTCAGAGGAGGTGGTTGTTTCTTACAGACCTTTCCTGATTCACTTTCTAACATGGATCCCCCTCTCAGGCTCTATTTCTTCCCACTAGATACAAGTTGGGAGTTTTGTTTGTTGACTTGTTAGTTGTTTTATCACCTGGAATGGAATGTTAGCATCTCTGAGGACTGTGACAGTCTTTGTCTTATGACTGAACTTCCTGGAACTATCACACAGGATAACGTCTGGTGGACATCCCATAAATATATGTTAACTGGCTAAGTGAAAAAGAGTATCCTGTGGGCAAAACTGATAATGTGTTGTAAGCAGTCAGAAGGGCTGAACCACTGGGCATCAGTGCTGGACCATGTAACAGAGTCTTTTACAAATATAGTCGAACATCTGTGAGTTGACCACTCAAGGGACTGTAACAAACTGATCAACTTAGGGAAGTGGTCACTGTAAGGAACTTAGGCCTACACTCCTGACACAGATGTGTGATGCATGTCTGTTTATGAAAATCAGGTCAACTTAAAGAGGTAGTCAATACAGGGAGGTGGTCCACTATGGAGGTTCTGCTATATTTGAAACAAAGGGATTAGGATAAGCAAAACTTCACTGTAATAGAACTTTTGACAAGGCATTTTGTATTTCTTTCTTTGAGACAGAGTCTCAAGCTGTCACCCTCGGTAGAGTGCGATAGTGTCACAGCTCACAGCAACCTCAAACTCTTGGGCTCAAGCAATTCTCTTGCCTCAGCTTCCCAAGTAGCTGGGACTACAGGCGCTTGCCACAACGCCCACCTATTTTTTTGTTGCAGTTGTTATTGTTGTTTTAGCAGGCCCAGGCTGGGTTCGAACTCACCAATCTCGGTGTATGTGGACAGTGACCTACCCACAGAGTACAGGCACTGCCTGACAAAGCATTTTAAGAGAGAGCAAACACTGCCTCTCTTACAGGTTGATGGTAAGAATTGAGGAAGAGAGGGTCAGCGAGGCTCTTAGCACGTTTCCTGGTATTCTTTAGGGAGTGGTTCTCTTTCATCTTTAAAAGTGTTCTTTTTTTAATTGTAGTAATCAAATCAGTCTTTCTCTTTTTTACACTTTGACTATCTTTTCTGGCAATCTAAAGTCAATGCACAAATTAACTGAGCATATAAATCAATGTTCAAGGTCCCGACACCTTGTCTACCTGAGGTTGGGTGGTTTGTCCCTGCTGGTGGTGGCAGTGCTGTATTTGGAAGAGGCCTGAAGCTGAAGGCAGGGGCTTCTGGGCTGGGGTGAGTGATGCTTGCATTCTGTGCTGGAAATGGTGGCCAGTGCAACAGCTGGACTGACCATTACTGCTGGAAGATTTGCCACTTACTAGGTTTTGCAAGCCATGAAGCATGAGGAGCCTCAAGTAAAGTAAGTTTTACAAAGTCACCAAAATCTACCTTCAGTGCTATTGCAGAGGTGGTTCTGAACCCCAGATGACAAATTGAGAAGTAGAATTAATATTATGTTAGGTATAAATCCTACTGCCAATAAAGGCAAAGGAAGAAAGGCTCCTTGACAATTATGCTCTTAAATTACCCAAACAAAGGAAACAAAGGAAGGCGTCCTTAGGTAAGCAGCCAAAGTCAACAAAGCCAAACATTTACTAAAAGCTCAAGCTGAAAGAGGAAGTGTATGTGATGAATTTTAATTCATATTTAATTTATGTGTGAATACCAGCTTTTTATAATAAATTACCTTAAAACTACATTTGAAAAAATGATTTAGCAAAGGCTAAATCAAAGCCTTAGTTTAAAGAATAAAGACACAGGGAGGCCTTTTGTTCCTTCACACCACAGATAGACACATAACACTTGCTCAGTAAAGACCATCTGATGCCTCCTTTGCCACAGAGCAGATGTACTGACAAAAATAGAGTGGTGAACAAATCTTAATTAGTTCAATAATAACAAAAATAGCTTTATAAGAGTTAGTCATATTCCTATTTATAAAATAATTTGCTAGAAATTGTGAAATATTGGCATACAAGGACTCACTAAGTAAGGTAACATTTGTGTTTTGGATGGGGACTCATCTTCCATGAGGTAGCATGGGCCTGGGGTCTACTAAATACTCTAAGAAATAAAGATGACTCTTCTAAAGAAACAACAAAGGCTTTGATATTTTAAAATTTAAATTATTAATAATTTATCCCATTTTAAATGGTATTAGTATAATTCCCCAAACCTAAAGCTATTGCTTGTGTCAAACTATAAAATGCCAAAGGATATGAATAAGGAAACCAAGGATTTGTCATCAGATGATTTGGATTTCATAAGACCCGGCCAGATTACTTATGTTCTAAAAAGGAGTTTCTCCCCTTGGCATTACTGATATTTTGGACTGGATACTCTGGGGGCGGATACTGAGCAGTGTCCTGGTCTTTACTCATTGGACTCCAGTAGCTCCACTCCTTCCCCCACGTTGTGGTTACCAAAAATGTCTCCAGACATTGCCAAAGGCCCCACCCCCACCCCAGGGATCACAATCATGCCCAGTTGAGAACTATTGGTATAAGTCATTTTTAGAAAAGTCACAGAATATTATGATGAATACCTTTTTTTTTTTAATGACAGAGTCTCACTCTGTTGCCCTATGTAGATTGCCATGGTGATGTCATAGCTCACAGCAACTTCAAACTCTTGGGCTCAAGCGATCCTCTTGCCTCAGGCTTCCAAGTAGCTGGGACTACAGGCACCTGCCCCAATGCCCATCTAGTTTTTCTATTTTTAGTAGAGAAAGGGTCTTGCTTTTGCTCAGCCTGGTCTTGAATTCCTGAGCTCAAGCGATCTACCCACCTCAGCCTCTCTGAGTGCTAGGATTGCAGGCGTGAGCTACTGTACCCGGCTACATGTTGAATATCTTCTAAATGAGATAAGATATAGGAAAAGTTCTGTTAACTGGAAAGTGCTCTACAAGTATTTCTCTCACCATCATTTCCTACTTTCCGCATCTCCTTGCACAAAACACAGCTGGCTCTTCACAATCCTAGTACAAGACTCTCTTCGCCTTGTCCTCAAGGCTTCCCTACCCACTTTCCTACTGGCCTCGTGAACTGTTAATGTCACAAACTACTGTACTATTAATTTTTAAGATTTCAATGCCTGACATTGATTTACTGCACATTATTATTTGCAAAGAGGTAAGCAAAGAGGTAAGACTCTAAATGCTAGAATCCCAGATGGGAGAAGGCCAGTGAGGAAAATCATTTATAGAGGGGGTAGCTTGCAGTAACCTTCATTAAATCACATCATGTTGCTGTGACCACTTACTCTTCCCACGTCTTATCCAATAGTGGGGGCAATATGAAATCTGAGTAACTTTGCTTTTGCATAACTCAACCACTTTCTTATAGCAGCAGTATAGTGTAGTGACTAAAAACATAAAGTCTGGAACTAAACTGTCTAGGCTCACATCACGTTCTGCTACTTATGGGCTGCGTGGCTTTGGGTAAGTTAACAT